TTTCGTAGGTGCAAAGATCGTGAAAAAAGAATCTTTGGTGGGTGCACATTTGAGATGTGCCGTCTTATTAAATGAATGCACCGCCAAACTCGCTACGAGTGTCGTCGTCGCTAGGGTTATCCCAAAGAGAGATTTATAGGTCAGGTTACCACGGTTGAATATCATAATTACTTGTTGTTTACTAAAGCTTGGCACTCACAGAAAAATAAATATTACATTCATTACGGAAAATGTAACGACCAACCCCAAAATAGACATGATTGATTTGGATTATTAAAAAAACAGAAGACTTCTTCCAGCTGCTGAGACGAATATGATGATCTAAAATAAAAGTATTTGTTACCGTAAACAAAGAAAAGTCTTCTGCTACACTCTTCACTCTCAGCCAGGCTATGCCAAAAAACCTCACATTGGACAAAACCCCCCTAAAGTTTGAGAATCAACAAAAGTATCTTGGAATAATCTTTGACAAGCGTCTCATATGGAAACAACACCTTCAAAATGCAGAAACTTAAGCCAGGAAGAAGCTTAACATCATGAGAAAACTTGCAGGGACTCGGTGGGGAGCAAATGAGAAAACACTTAGACAGGTCTATCTGGGCGCAGTCAGGCCCCATCTCGAGTACGGATCCAGTGCATGGATGACTGCAGCACAAACTCACAAATACACTCTGGAAAAAGTGCAAAACCAGGCTCTCCGTATAATCACTGGAGCAATGAGGTCAACGCCTTTAGAAACGATGGAACAAGCAACATCTATAGTGGCCCTGCAGAGGAGATGGGAGTGCAAGTCCCTCATACAGTACACCAAGGCCACAGCTATGGAGGATCATATAATGCACACAAGAACAGCCAGATCAAACACCACACGACTTAGAAGGCCTAACTTCATCAAAGAAAGCAGAACAATCCAAAGATCCATACAGGACCATCTACCAGCCACAGTGAACATGCTGAACCATACCCCAGATGCACCATCACGGGAAAAGAAAAACACAAACATAATTATACTACGTCCATTCCTATGTTCACCACAAAAGATGACCACAGCGACCTGAGCAAGAAATCCCTCACCCTGTCCATGCTTGAAGAAAGATACCCCCTGGAAGCATGGATAAGGGTCTATACGGACGGAAGTTGTGACAAGAGGAGGACCTGGAGTGTATGTACAGTTCCCAAATGGACGACGACAAGCAGAGGCAGTCCCAACAGGGCGACGTTGTATAAACTACAGGGCAGAGTCGGAGGCTCTAATACATGCAGCAAACATCATCAAAAATGTGGTAGACCCCCAAATCCAAGTAGTATTCCTTTTGTTGTTTGTTACAGTTTGGCACAAACTACAAAATATACATTACATCAATTAGGCCTACTGAAAGTGTAACGACCGACCCAAAAGAATGACATACGTAATTTGGTATTAAAAAAAACTTTTTACAACTGCAAAGATCTAGAATAAAGTTATATTGTTGTTTACTACCGCTTGGCACTCACAAAAAGTATACATAACATCTGTTACGGAAAATGTAACGACCGACCCAAAACAGACATATGTGATTTGTATTTTTTTAAAAAGACCTTTCCACTGGTTGAGACGAAAATTAAGTTCTAAACTGAGGAAATTTGTTGTTTACTATAGCTTGCCACTCACAGAAAAATACTCATTACATCCATTACTGAAAATGTAACGACCGACCAAAAAATAGACATGATTGATTTGGATTATTTAAAAAAGACTTTTTCCAGCTACTGAGACGAACATTACGATCTAAGATAAAAGTATTTGTTTTTTTTACTACAGAGTGGCACAGACGAAAAAGTATACATAACAATACATCCATTACTGATAGTAGCGACCGACCGAAAATAGACATATATGATTTGCATTATTTAAAAGATCTTTTCCACTAGCTGAGACGAAAAGTAAGTTCTAAAATAAGGTTATGTGATGTTTACTATAGCTTGGCACTCACAGAAAATTATACATTACATCCACTACTGAAAGTGTAACGACCGACCCAAAATAGACATGATAATTGACTTGGATGATTAAAAAAAAGAATTTTTTTTCAGCTGCTAATACGAAAATTGAATTCTAGAATATGGAAATTTGTTGTTTATTACAGATTGGATTTGACAAAAAATATTAATTACATCATTACTGAAAGTGTAACGACCTACAAAAATAATGACATTAGTGATTTGGAAGTCAAAACAACTTTCTACAGCTGCAAAGACAAAAATGAAGTTCTAGAATAAAGTTATTTATCGTTTACTACATCTTGGCACTCACAGAAATATATTCATTACATCCATTACTTAAATTGTAACGACCGACCCTAAATTAGACATAAGTGATTTGGATGAAAAAAAAAAGATTTTTTTTCTGTTGACGAGACCAAAATTAAGTTTTAGAAAGAAAAGTATTCGTTGTTTACTACAGCTTGGCACTCACTGAAAAAAAACAACCTTACATCCATTACTAAAAGTGTAACGACAGACTCAGAAATAGACATGATTGATTTGTATTATTTTAAAATAAGACTGTTTCCTGCTTCTGAGAAGAAAATAAAGTTCTAAAATGGAGTTATTAAATGTTATTTACTACAACTTGGCACTAACAAAAAAAGTATATATAACATCCATTAGTGAAAGTGTCACGACCAACCGAACTAGACATTAGTGATTTAAAAAAAAAGACTTTTTCCACCAGCTGAGACGAAAATTAACATCTAAAATAAGGTTATTTTGTTGTTTACTACTGCTTGGCACTCACAGAAAAATATACATTACATCCATTACTGAAAGCGTAAAGACCGACCCCAAAAAGGACATAAGGAATTTCAAATTTAAAACAACTTTCTACTACTGCAAAGACGAAAATTAGATCTAAAATGAAGGTATTTGATGTTTACTACAGCTTGATACTAACATAAAAGTAAACATAACATCCATTACTGAAAGTGGCACAACAGACCCAAGATAGACATAAGTGCTACTAAAATAAAAGGTAAGTTCTAGAATAAGGAAATGTTTGTTTTCTAGACAGTTTTGAACTGACAAAAAATATATATATTACAGGAAGAGAGAGGGAGATAGGAAGAGAGAAAGAGAAAGAGAGA